TTCATGCAAAGCAAAGCAAAAGAACAATGTCACCGTGGGGTCTATGTAGCAATACTATGCTACCTACCTACCTACCTACCTACCTACCTACCTACCTACCTACCTACCTACCTACCTACCTACCTACCGATCTATCGATCGATCTATCTATCTATCGATCTGCATGCCTATCTACCTATTTATCTATCTGTCTATCTGTCGATGGATCTATCTATCTATTTATTTGGGGGTTTCCGAAAATAGGGGACCCTAAACTAGTACCCTAAATAGTAGGATCCTTATTATAGGGACCCCAAAAACAGGTACCCCTTATTTTCGGAAACTCCCATTTATCTATCTACTTATCTATCTATCTATCCTTCTATCTGTCGATCTGTCTACCTGTCTACCTACCTACCTACCTACCTACCTACCTACCTACCTACCTATCTACCTATCTGTCGATCGGTCTATCTATCTATTTATTCATCTATCTATCTATCTATCTATCTATCTATCGATCCATCTATGAGAGAATTTATAAGTATACTTGTTAATGGGTGATCATTGTGCAAACGATTTGTTTTCTGTTGGTAGTGACGTTGCACACACGTGTCTATGTATATGCGCATGTATGTTCGTCGCAGTATGAATTACTTTACATGTTTCTGTTGGCATGCGTGGATTGGCAACCCGTGCATGCGATGCTTATGGACATGCACATGTCTACAATATATACGCATACATACATACATACATACATACATACATACATACATAAATACTCACACACACACACACACACACGCATACCCGCATACATACAAAATACAAACATAAAGATTTCGAGGGTATAAACAGCGCCGCGCAGGACCTCGAAGTATTCAGTGCAGCCGGGCGTGGACGTGGCCTGAGAGGTGCAACAGCGGCGCCTGGCGATGTTGTACCTTTGGGGAATATTTTCAAACAAAACGCATCCATAACTATTAAGTGCGCTATAGTGTATGGACGGTATACATACGTATATTCTAAGGCCATTATGCATTATTTCCTGCTTAATTTCTGCTCCGCTTCCAGTATGGACGAATGAAGCGCCGTGCAAACTGCAACAAGGTCCTGGCCGAGCAAGCTGTCTTGGCAGAGCCGTGCGTCCTTCGGGCCGCAGGTACTGCCTGCATCCGGGGCATCGATCCCTTTTGTCCATGCATGTCTCGTGCACGAACCTTGCGCGTTTTGCCAAGGTCAGTGGGGAGGAATTTGCCATTGCGGCCCAACAGGACTGGAAGAAGGTCGGTGCCTTCAGCCGAGCCAAGCTTCTGTCGCTGCGCTGGCGCAGCGCAGTCAAGGAGGGCTCCGAGCTGCCGACAGCGCTGGGTCCGTTGCGTGGCTGGCCGGGGCGGGAGCCATCTGAGCAGCTGGGGCAGGTGGCCACGGCTACTTCGAAAGCACCAGGGATTCCGAGGCTCCGGGGCATTGCTGCTTTCAACGGAATGGCAGTGCTGAAGATGGTTGTCAAGCCATCGATTTTAAAAACTATCGAAGCGCAGCCCCGGCATGGCTTGGCCATCTACACGGATGGCAGCTTACTGAACCACTCCTGCCTGCCAAACGTCAACAGGCAGGTAATAGTGGCATGGTGCGAGTCGAGCTACAAGACTTTCCTATCACCTCTTACGGCTTGAGGGTCTGTTCGGACCTTGCGTCTTTCAATTCCGGTAGCTGTCGGAACCCTTCGTGATAGCGGGTAGATGATCTCCAAGACGAGCTCCCACGGGCTGCTTGCGAGGCTACCGTTCCCTTCGTGCCTAGTTGTTCGAGCAGCACGAGATCTACTTCCTCAAGATGAGTTGACCTGCGCCTACATTGAGGCCTGTGCCGTAGCTACTGACTTGATGTCCCAAGCCTTTCCCTGCTGCTGCTTCCAATGAACCTGCTTTTCAGTGGAGTCGAGTTTTGGGAAAAGGAATGTCAGGTGAAGTCGAAAAGGGCCCGGACCGGAAAGATGTTGAAGCAAAGGTGGGCCCTCCCTGAATGTGAGCTTCGTGAGGTCCGGGCTCCTCACTTCGTGCGCCAGGCAGAGCTGGAATCCACCTGGGGCTTCGAGCTGCTCTGGCAGCGAAGAGTTGGGCCCCTTTTAAGCCTGCAAGATGAGACCTTGAGGAATGTGGGAGTTTCCGAAAACAACGGGGTACCTTATCCGAGGGTCCTTATAATAAGGATCCTACTATTTAGGGTGCTATATTAATTAGGGTCCCCATCTCGTGTGAGTGGGTTCGGCGGCTCGGCCCAAGACAGGACTTGGCTTGACATTGGCTCAGGTGCGGGTGTGGCCGCTGCCAGCTGGAGGCGAAGATCTGGGCGGCCGAGCCCGAGGCTGCTCAGTACGTAGTGCTCAGCCTTGGAAGGGCTGGCGTGGGGGGGGGGGGGGTTGCGTAACAGGTTTGATATCTTTACGGCCATTGGGTTCCGCAAACAGGCATGGTCTGGGGGTGTGTCACTCAGGACTCCTGGACGAGAGCCCAAACTTGAAGAGGGCGAGTTGAAGCGACGGCGAGGTGTCTAGATTCGACTTGTGGTTTGAGGTGCGGTGTGGAATTAACTGTGGCTTGGAGTCGAGGGTTCAGGGTTTAGTGGGAAGTGTTGCTTCGGGCTTTAGTGACGAGGCCGAGAAGAGGGCTCGCTCACTGTGGCGGCGATTTGAGCGGCGACGCAGAGAGGGCGCCTGCTCGGAGCAGGATGGAAGGGAATCATCGGATTTAACGGGATTCCGAAAATCACCTAAACCCTAAACCCCTAA